CCTTCTGCTCCCCAGGCTGTTCACTGGGCCCTGGGAGCTTAGCACCTTGCACTGCCCTGGCCTCTGCTAGAGTCAGTGTGAAGCAGGGACTGGAGCCAGCAACAGATCTGGGGCTCAGCCACGTGTGCAATGGGGCAGGGCTGCCCCCGGTGGGCTCCAAGGGACCTGATTCCTTGTCTGCAGTTACTCTCTTTCCTCCAGCCAGGACTCGATTGGGTCCTTCCAGAGAGCCTGCAACCCTTTCTGTCTGAGCAGGGAGCCTTTATCTAGTGTGCCGGGGTGATTTGGCTAGTCCTTCACAGGCTGCCCTCTCCTGCCTGGCTCCCTGACCTATGGGTTGCATGAGGTGCTGCCGCAGCTGTCAGCTCCTGGAACTGAGAGCTCTGCTGCTGGCAGTGCCCTGGCCAAGGTGGTCAAGCGCCTGGCAGGATCAGCCAGGCTGTCGGTTGCTCTGGGGTTCTGGAGGTGCTGGCCTCAATGCCAGGGCAAACCCATGCTGTCACATAGTCCTCGCCCAGCAGAATCTGGTCCCAGTGCCCCACTGGTATTGGTGGGAGGGTCAGCCCTGGCTAATGACCTGTGGTGCAGGGCTCCAGGTCAGCGCAGCTCTTCCCTGGAGTCTAAGAAGCAGCTGGCTGCTGTGATTCAATTCCCAGCACCCTGCCCTTGCTCTCCATGGAGCATAGAGGCCTGATATTGTGTGTTTATTTGCAGGGCCAAGCGGGCGACAGCTGTGCTCCTGGCAGACCCCGGCTTCCAGCTCCGCTCCATCCAGTACCTGCTGGGCCATGCAGAGCCATCAGCACTGGCAGCCACGCCTCCCTCTGCAGACAAAAGACATTTCTCCCTGCACACCTGTAAGTGTCTGCACCACACCAGGCGAGGGCCATGGGGGTGTCCCCTTGGGGCATCTGGCTGGGCCGACTCTGGGCACTGGAGCTCGGTCCTCCTCAGAGGCAGACTGGCCCCCTGGGCCATGCTCTGGGGTGGGGTGGGCCAGGCCCTCCCCCGCCCTGGGAAGCAACATGGGGTTGGGTTTTCCAGCTGGGTCTTCTCCCTGTTTGTGTAAGAGACTCAACTTGGCAGGGAGAGATTCCCACGGCAGCCTGTAGCCAGCAGGGGATGGGCCACGAAGGACGCTGCTCCTCCATGGGCACCGTGTGCACACCTCAGGGCAGGACAGCGAGCCGAGGCAGAGCTCGGTGCCAGGGAGCAATGTGGGTGCACCTGGCCCCGGCACAGAGCTCCCCCTCAGAGTCTGCTTTTCCCAGGCACCTTCTGGCAAGAAAGGAGAGAGAGTCTTTGCCAGCTGCCCTGTCCTACCCCAGGATCGAGGCCCACCCCCCGGCCATGTCCACAGCCCCTCCAGTCTTCTCTCAGTACCAGGGGAATGAAGCAAAATGGAGGGATGACAGAGAAGTGGCAGCTCCCAGGGCACTAAAGGCACGTCTCAGCAGTGCCTGTTGGTCCCTGGCAGGGTGGCAGTGTCATAGAGTCACAGGGCCTGGTCTATGCCCCCTGGCCTCTCACCAGTATCCTGGGAGTGTCCCCTCTAGTGTGCCAGGCCCCACATAGTTCCACTGGGACAGGCCCATGGCCTTCATGCCTGGGCCATGAGCACCAGCGATCTCTGGTTCTCTGGGTGGCTCCCTGCAGCGAGTCCAGCCTAACCAGACCCCTGCTGGAGGCTTGTACTGTCCCCTCCAGGGCACAGTGCTCAGAGTATCTGCAACAACACCTGCAGTCTGTTCCTAGCCAGGGGACCATTTACTAGTCACCTGACTACAGAATCAGGGAGTCTGAGGGGAGCCCAGGGAGCTGACAGGTAACGCCCAGCCCAAGTCCTGTCTGGGTAGCCAGGGCCCAGCCATGCTGTCATGAATCCCATGGTTCAGGCTCTGTCTCACTCCTTTATCAGTTCCCAGGCAAGAGCCCCAATTCCTTCCAGCAGCCAGCTCCTATCCCTCACACCTCCTGGCCTTTGTGCTCAGGCTGGGGCCTGAGGAGGGGAATCCAGCTCCCTCCAGGCTGCTGGTCAATAGGGGTCCGTGTCCTGGGGGACTGGCCTTGCCATTTGTCTTCTGAGATTTGCCCTTGATACGGGGTCGGCCTCAAGCCAGTTTTTTCCAAGTGACGCATCCCAGTTCAGACAGCTAGGTGCCATTCATACCATTCCTTCAGCCTGCCCCGAGAGCGAACAGTCCCCTGCCCTATCCCACACCCACACTGGGTAGACTTGCAAAATAAGAGGGAAACTGAGGCATGCATAAGCTTCATAAAAACGACAGACAATCCCCCCTAGTCATAGGAGGGACAGGGCAGTCATGGTGCCCTCTGGCTGGAGCTCCAGGTGGCCCAGCTGAGGATGGCTCACAGCCCAGGTGCTGTGGTGCCCATTGGGGAAGGGAAAGGCTGTGCTGTCCCCTTTGCTCCCGGCAGTAAGGCTGTGCCACAGCACTATGCTGCAAGGGGGAAGGAGGGCGTGCCAGGAAGCAGCTGGAGTCCCCACTCTGCCAGCACAGAGCAGCTCTGAGCACCTGCCCTGCCCAGACTGCTGGTCCCTCTGGGCAGGCACGCATCTTGGGAGCAGGCTGGAGCTTCCCACCACTGCTGAGACAGGAGTCCCTGCCCCAGGGGAAAGGGTCTGGTCCTGCTGCAAGCTGGCCTGGGGTTGGCTCTGTTGGTCTTCAGGATGCCGGTGTTGCTGCTTTCTGCCCCAGCTGGCTGAGCACTGCTCTCGTTACAGCTGAGAGTCCACAGTGGTCTCCTAGTGCCACAGCAGGGTGGGCACTCAGCATATGGGTCATTGCCTGGTATGTGGAGATGGCCTTGGGTAGCTGGCCACTTGCACGTTAGTGCAGCTCAGAGCCAGGGGTGGGGAACAGCCTCCCCCGTGCTGGTGTCTAGTAAGGCCCTGTAGGCTGCAGCTGGTGTGGGTCCCCTTAGTGTGGGGGTGTTCACTGAGCTCTGCCTGGCAGTGCTAGGTATTGTCTCCTAGTGCTGCAGAGGGAAGGTGTGCTGGAGATGCAGTGGCCAGGTGGCATGTGCTCGTGCATGGCTCTGGGCACCTCTCCTTATGCACAGGTATGTGCTGCTAATTAGCTTCCCAGAACATGTCTCAGAGCACGCTGTGCTCGGCTCAGTCACTCACCACTTGGATCCCAGTACCTGTGGGCATGCCCTGCCCAAGCCCTTCTGCGTAGTGAACGCTGAGTGCTCAGGCTCTGCTCCCCTCCCTGTGGCACTGTGGTTCTAGCACAGTGACTGGGTGCTGTGGAGCGCTGTTCTGCAGCCCAGCATCTCCCCCGGCTCTGGACATCTTGGCCACTCTCATCTCGCTGCAGCACATAGAGGTGGATCAGCATTTTGGCGCCAGACGTTCTGGTCACTCCCCCCATGTTCCCACTTGCTGCCGCATTCTCTGCCTCTGTGGCAGCAGACAGTGGCTGTTCCTTTTGCTCCTGCCCTTACTCCTTCTAGTTTAACTTTTCTGCCTTGTTCTTTGGGCAGTGGGGAGCAGGGTTCTCCCTCCTGGACATTCCTCCTACATGGGTGGTTAAGCCTTCCTGAGCCTCGGCTGCAGTGTTTCCCTGCTTGCTCCTCTGTCCCTTACAGGCACGGCCAAGCAGCCAAGAGAGCACTGAGTCAAATCCAAGCAGTGCTCGATTTGTGAGGCAGCCTTCCCAGGCTTGGCAGATGATGAGTTGTGCCCAGCCTGCACCCAATTCTGTTAGGTCCAGGGGCTACGATTCGGGCAGGCAAGTGGGGTCCCTACACCCCAAGGCAGCTGCGAGTCCAACGGGGGAAAATGGACCAGGAACCCCAGTGCAGAACAGGGAGAGGCTCCAGAAGCAAGGAGAACCCTGACCACTTGACTAAGGGGATAAGTCCCAGGGGCCTCTTGCAGAACTAAGAGGGGAGGATTGCAGGGCCACAAGTGTCCTCTGCCTCCCTGCAAGTCGTAAAGTGGGTCATGAGCACCCTGGGGAAAGAAGCAGGGCTTCTAATCAGCCCCCTCCCTCCCGAGCTGTCCAGGTGGGCCCTGACTAGTTCCCCCAGCCCCCCGCCTAGGGGGAGTGGGACCCAATGGGGGAGGTTTCAGAGCCAGACCTCTTGAGAGGGCTCCCGGCCCTAAGGAAGACAAGCCATAGGTGGCCTCCCCAAAGCCGCAGCAGAGTTTCTATGCTCCCAAAGTTCGCAAAAAAGATGAAAAAATCTGAAAGGGGAAAGAAGGCACACAAAATCCAGGAGGTCTGAGTCCTCCAATTCCCCCTCCCCGCTCCCCTGCGGAAGGCGAGCTGTCTGGTGCTGACTCCAAACAGGCTGGGGGGAAAACTTAGCAAAGGCTTTTTCTCCTGGAGAAATGTCAAGCCATGTGCAGCAAGGTTATCCGCATGATTCAAACACAACCTCAGCAGGCTCCTGAGAGTGAGCCTTGGAGTCAATTTCTTCCCTCAAAACCCTCCCCAGTGGCGGTGATACCCCTTCATCGTTCCTCCTTCCAGGAGGTGAGTAGTGTGAGTGGGGTAAGCTAGGTAAGGGCCAGCATGTTAACAAGAGCGATGTCAGGCTCCATAACATTCCAGACCCAAAGGGCTCCAATGCTGAGATACCAAAGGCTGATGCTGCTGTAGCGTCCCTCCCCAGGGATACGGTTGGAGGTCATTCTCAAACAAGACTTTGAAACCTCCACTGCCACTTTCCGACCATCCCTGGGAGCAGCTGCCTGCGTTGCAAGAGCATCTCTCCTGGCTGGGAGATCACAAAGCCCTTAAGGAGTGAGATCACCCTGACTTTGGCTCCATTTTAATGAATGTCTCTCTGGCAACAGGTTTCAGAGTGGTAGCTGTGTTAGTCTGTATCAGCAAAAACAACAAGGAGTCCTTGTGGCATCTTAGAGACTAACAAATTTATTTGGGCATAAGCTTTCATGGGCTAAAACCCACTTCATCAGATGCATGGAGTGGAAAATACAGTAGAACGGTATAAATACACAGCATATGAAAAGATGGGAGTTGCCTTACCAAATGGGGGGTCAGTGCTAACGAGCCAATTCAATTAAGGTGGAAGTCTGGCCTTTCGCTACTTGTCCTCACAGAGGTAAGTGCGAAGGGACAGCAGGTTCCCCAAGGGAAAACAGTAGGGTCAAAGTCCATGGGGAAAGTCCAGAGGGACCTCAGCTCCCCTAAAATCCAATTTATGACGAAGATTACGTAGGCCTCCGCCCCGGAGAGAAGCGAGGGGGCAGAATTCCCCATTTTCTAGAAGAATGTTTTTCTTTAACCACAGAGAAGTTAATCAGGGTGATAGTGAGCCAGGGATAGTCCCTCGAACTGTGGGCTCCACCCCATCCATTCTTCATCCAGTCACCTAGTTTCAACAACCCTGTAAAAAACAATTTGATCCAGAATGAAATATCTCATCTTCTGGATATTGGCATGACACAGACTGTTCCCTCAGAAAAAGGTTTGCCGGGTTGTACTCCATCTTCTTCATTGTGCAGAAGCACATGGTGGGTATCAGAGCCATTCTCAACCTCAAAAGGCTGAACAAGTGGATGAGGAAAACAATGTTTCTGATGGAGACCCTGGCCTCTACAGTGTCCTCCCTGTCCAGAGGGACTTCTTGACTTCAGTACCTCTTGCAGACGCATATCTCCATATCCCCATCCGATCATGCCACCGCAGACTTCTGAGGTTCACCTACAGCAGGAAACATTGAGTACTGAATGCTCCTGCTTGGCCTGTCTTTGGCCCCCAGGGTTTTACACAGATGGTGGTAATAGCCAGACTCAGGTTGCAAAGAACTCACCTGTACTCTATTCTCGACAACATCCCAATCAGAACTCCAGCAGTGCAGAGGACCACATCTTGGATGTTGAATCTCCTCCAGGGGCACGGCTTCATCATCAGTGCCAAGAAAAGTTCTCTGGTTCCATCCAACAGAATAACCACCTGGGGGCAGAAATAGACACCTTGATAGCAAAGGTCTACCCATCATTAGAAAGGTTTCAGAAAATCCAGAAATGTATTATCTTGCTCCAGAGATGCAGCAGGCCTACCATAGCACTGTGCTGTGCTAGGACTCATGGTACTGTGCATAGGCATCACTCCATGGGCACAATCACTCATCAGACATCTTCAAGCCTTCATACTAAAGGTGTGGGACCATTCCCTGGAACACATGAAAGATCAAGTACAGGTTCCAACATAGGTATTTAACTCCTTACAATGGTGGTCAGCCCATGATAATGCCTGCAAAGGTATGTCCATCTGCCTTTCAGATCCTTCAATCCTCGCAACCAAGGCCAGCTTGGAGGGCTGGGGAGCTCACTTGGAGACCCAAACAGCCCAGGGCCTCTGGAGCTAGGAGAAAAAGGCAAAACTGCATAAACCTCCTAGAGCTGAGAGCTGTCCAGCTAGCTCTGCAAAGGTTCCAGCTCACTCTAAGGGGGAACCATGTCCTGGTTCAATCAGACAATATGACTACGTTTGCGTATTTAAACAGCCAATGGGGAACAAGGCGTCCAGCACTAAGTGTGGAAGCAATGGAAATAGTGAGGTGGATGGAACAGTTCTGCCTTTTCCTCAGGGTGATCCACATCAAAGTGGACCTGAACCACAAAAGGGCAGATGGTCTCACCAGGCGCAGGGTCAAAAACTCCAAATGATGTCTGAATCAGGACTCACCATTCAGACGTTCTGCCTCCCTTCAACCGACCCATTTGTGAATCATACAAATGCAAAGAAGCCAAAATACTTCACAAATGAAGCAGACCCCAGAGTCATGGGCACAGATGCCTGATTGCACAGTTGGCCATAGGGCCTACTTGATGTGTTTCCACCTTTTCTGCTACTGAGGAAGGTGATTCAGAAAATAAAACGAGAGCAGGCGACAGTAATTCTTATAACTCCTCATTGGCCAAGGAGACCTTGGTTCTCAGACCTGATAGAGCTGAAACTGGAACTCCCACTCCAGGTTCTGTGGAGACCGGACATCCTTTCAAAGGTCCTGTTCTTCAGCTAGACCCAAAACAGCTTCAACTAACAGCCTGGCAATTGACAGGGAAACACTAGAAGGTCTTGATCCATCTTCCGGATTCATTAAAACATTGCTTTCATCTAGGAGAGTATCAGTACTAAAAATATCCTGCTCTCTCTGATCCAGATTCTACAACTGGTACCAAGAACACAATGCAAATCCCAGAAATCCTGGAATTCCAGGCATTCTGGACTTTCTCCAAGAAGGCATAGACCGAGACCTTCAGCTGAGTATCATTTCATGTCAGGTGTCTGCTCTTAATATTGTGCTATTTGTAGGATCCTTGCCCTCCTTGCAGACCATCCATAGGTAGCCAGATTCCTTCTAGCAGTCCGATTAGCCAGGCCAGTCTTCCCAGCATGGGACCTACTGCTAGTTTTGAGGGCCCTGCCAGCCATCCTTTTGAGCTGCCGACTCCAGTGTCGGCCTTTCATTTATCCATTAAGACTTGTTCTTAGTAACTGTCACGTCCGCCAGGCAAGTGTCGGAGCTGGCAGCCTTATCCACATGTGAGCCTTACTGGGTGTTCCATGAGGTCAAGGTGAGGCTCGGGACACCAGCATCCTTTCTTGCTAAGGTAAATTCCTCCTTCCACACTTCTCAAGAGGCTGTGCTTCCTTTGTTCTGTCTAAAACTACAATATCCAATGGCAAAGATGTGGTAGACCTGGAATGTCAGAAGAGCTTTGAAAATCTCTCAAATGTGCAGAATCCACAAGAAGATCGGGCTCCCAATTTGTGTCGTCCTACTCGAAATGCCAGAGAATCAGAGCTTCGAAGTCCTCCATTGCTAGGTGGATCAGACTATGTATTATGGAACCCTGAATCCTCAGAGGCTCCAGTCCCAGAAGGGATCAAGGTGCACTCCATGAGATCCTTAGCAGCCTCATGGGAGAGATAAGCAAGTGCTTTGGAAATTTACAAAGTGGCCACTTGGTTTACAACTAATACCTTCATTAAGCTCCATAGGGTGGGCCTTCTGTCTTCTGCAGAGGCTCCTGTGGCAGAATGGTGCTGCAGGCAGTGGCTCAGAAATAGTACAGACTTTTGAGCAAGTTCACAAAAGGGGTAGGGGGTACTTTCCTATCAAACTTTTGTTTCATAACCCTCCCTACATCTGCTCACTACTTTCCAGACAGCCAGAACTGTGGGAGACACTGGGCTGCAGAACAGAAGATTTTGTAGAAATAATTTCCTTTCTGCTAGCATCGTCTCCCACAGTTGTCCCCACCCTGGATGGCTCAGGAGCCAGAGTTGGATACTAAGTGGAATATTTACCATAGGATTGTCTTCCTTGGTTCAATGTACATAATGTCATTATCTCTGGAATATTTGTTAACGCTGTTCCAGTTTTACCGCTTGGAAATATTGCTCTGGCAGCAAGCGGGAGCAGAGGGGGCATGGCCACAGCGTGCTGATCCAGCTCCATGAGCTGCAGTGAGAGGAGATGCTGCTAGCTAGCAGAAAGGAAATAATCTTTGAGGAATTTTCCCTGCCCCCTTTGGAAATGGCATGGCTGGCCCAGGGTCCCTCAAACACTGTGTGCCTCCAACCTCTCTTGTCTTGCCAGCCTCCCATCAAACAGCTTTGGTGCCCCCTTCCCACACCATCGCTTCATTGCCCTAGGCCTTGACACTGCAGCCTCTCCCAGGACCAGCATCTGCCCCCTCACATCCCTGCTGGCCTAGGCCTGTTGCCATCTTGGTCCTCCCTAGCTCCCCGCAGCCCAACCTACTTGTTTGGATGCCACCTTCGGGCCCTCTGACCCTCAGTGCCCTCTCCAAACCCCACTCAATGCTGCTTGCCCACCAGCGGCTTCCAGGCAGGCTCTAATGCATGCACACAGCTGCTGGTAGAGAGCAGGTGACCATCTCTCTGGCCTTGCACTGCAGGCAGGGAGAGGCATGACCAGCGCTCTGCTTGTCTCCTATGCTGCTGGGATCCTGGACACCCCCTCCGGCTCATCCTGTGCCTGCCTGTGGGGACACATTGCAGCTCACACAGGGCCACGGTCCTGTCCAGCCAACACAGCTGCAGTTTGCCATTCCTGGGCAGCCCCCAGCCAGTGGGGTGTCCTGGCATGAAGTCAGCCACAGAGCTGTGCTGTGTGCCCCACAAGTACCACCCTCCTGTTTGGGGCCAGCCCTGGTGCTCTCTTCCCTTTCACTTCAGCCCTTCTCTCCACAGACACCGACTACATCAGCCAGGAGGAGCTGGCCAAGGTGGAGCGGATGCTGAGCCACCTGAGTGAAGAGTCAAAGCAGGCAGCTGCCTCCATGCTGGTGAGTCCCTGCCTGGTATGCACCCAGCCCAGAAACCAGCAGCCTTGCGGGGGAGGGGGCAGTGCCCTTCCTGGGGTGGAGTGGGGGAACCCGTCATGCCAGCTCAGATGGTGACTTGGGAGGGTTCAGCCTGGGCAGCCGGGGGGCTGGCTTCGCACATGCTGCTTGGCTTGGCCACACACTGCACAGCCCAGCCGGCTGTGTACCCAGCGCTCTGAATGCTACATGCACCCACTTCTCTATGCCTGGCAGCTGGAACCACTGGGAACTGGCCACACAGGGTGGGAGGTTGCTGCCCTGCTGCACAGTGGGCATGTCGGAGTGAGGGCTGGCTGGGAAAACTCCCCGGGGCAGAGGCTCGTTTGGCCAAACCTGGGGTGTGAGGTGCGATTGGGAGTCCCCAGGTAGTCTGAGTATCTCCGGGATTAAATCCCTGCCACGCTGGGTGAGACTGCACAAGGCTGTGTCCCACTGCCCTGGCCCAGGGGTACTGCACAAGCCACAAGCCTGAGCAACCCAGGGACAGCTGCCAGTCTGGGCTACAAGGGACAGGAGGGCTGGGCTCAGGCTGCTTGGTGCAGCACCCCCAGTGCCGCTGTCTGGCAGGAGGCAACCACCGGGGTGTGTGTGGGTGCCTTCAGCTGCTAATCAAGGCCGGGTGATTGTCTTTGCAGCCCACCAGTGAGGAGGACCTGTGCCCCATCTGCTACGCACACCCTATCTCGGCCATCTTCAGGCCATGCTCCCACAAGTCCTGCAAGTGAGTAACTGCGGTGGCCCTCTGCCCCTTCCCTCCCTGCTGGGGGCCAGGAACAAGGGAGTCTGCTCGGCCCCACAGGCTAGGAGCTAGGGAGAGCTCTGCTTCTCTGCTCCCCTTGAACCCCTCTACTGGTAAAGACTACTTGCATCTGGAGCCCAAGGACCTGGCTCATACTCTATGGACGCTCTTGGACCTTTTTGCATGTGCTGGGAGGGGCTCCCCTGGGGAGAGGGCCAGGCCCCATCCCTCACCACACTGGGGCTCTAGGCCTCGCTGCAGGGTGACAGAGCAGGGGTGCAGTCGTGGGCTCCACTGCTCAAGGGAAGCACTTTGCCTGGGAGTGCTTGGGTGCAGGGCTGGGCACAGCTCCCTCATGGTACAAGCTTTGTCTTTTCAGAGCCTGCATCAACCAGCACCTGATGAACAACAAGGACTGCTTCTTCTGCAAGGCCACCATCACAGGCGTGGATGACTTCACCAAGCCAGGCAGCTCCTAGTGGGGGGATTGACCCTGCAGGCTGCTGAGGCTCCTTTCCCTCAGCCTCCAGAAGTGGGTTGCCCAGCTCTGGTTAGTTGTGGGCCCTTCCACAGCCCAGCCCCCTTGCTCAGAAGCGTGAGGGACACCAGCAGATGGTGGAGGTGCTGCTTTTGCCCTGTCTGAGCCAAGGCTGGGCTCAGTCTGTTCAACAGGCGGGGGGGAGGCCTGAGCAGTAAGGGCTGAGGGGCGATGCCTTTCCCCGGTGAGGCTAATGCCAGCATGTACCTACTGAAGTCTCAGCCACGGCCTGCAGGAGCCTGGCTGACCCCAGGGCCTGTCCTGCTGCTGTTGCCATTTGCTATGGAGCGTTCGTTCATGTGTGAGCCTGTGTGCTGTGATGGGCCACTGCCAGCTTCCCTTCGCTGGGGGTGGGGCACACTTTGGCCCAAGCTCTGGGTACTGGGCAGCCAGACTGCAGAGAGCTACTGCTTCTGTGCTAAGCTAGACAGAGCAGAGGCTCTTCACAGCTGGCTTGGTCTAGGCCTGGGCCCTCGTGGCTGAGTTCTCTGATGGGCAGTAATTGGCTGGGGCCTGGCAGCCTGCAGTCCCCCAGCTTCAGCCTGGTGGGGGAGAAGTATGTGGCACCTTGCCCTGCAGCTGCAGGAGGATGTGCTAGCTGGCAGCGGGGGTGGGGAGCCCTACTGCTTGGTGCAAAATCCTTGACCTGGGTCTCTCAGCTGGGGGAGAAGCTAATGCTTGAGCTCGGCTGCAGGTGGGGTGGGACTAGCAGTAGCGTGAGATTTGTGACCAGCCCTGTGGGATTGCTCTGTGCTGTGCATCGGGTGCTGTGTTACCTGTCCTAGCTGGGGTCACTTCTCTGCACTAGAGCATTAAATTATTCTTCCTTATGGGGTGGCATCTTGTGTGTGCGACAGATGGGAATGCAAGGCCTGTGGATCTAAGAGCAGCTGGGCCAGGGCAGCTGCCTCAGGGATGGAGACACACAGGAGTGATATGGAGAGGGCAGGGGCCACAGGACCAGCCACAGCAAGAAGGTGATATGAGGCCATTCAGCGCTTTTAGACAGTGTAATTGTATTGGGTGGGGCCCTGTAAGCCTGGCCCTCAGTGGCACACTTGGCTCCTACCAGCACCCAGGACAGGCATGTCACAGCTGTGGCCCCCTGCTTTCTGCTGCTCCACCATGGAGCTCCCTTCCCCCCTTCCCGGACCCTCCCAACAGCAGCCTTCTCAGAGCCCAGCAGCCCATGAGGGCCTAGTACTGCTCCATGCTGTACCAGCAGAGCCAGTTCCCATACCCCCCCACCCCGTGTGCAGGGCTCTGCTCCAGGAAACAGTGTTAACAGTTCAGTAGCAGGGGAGCTGGCCTGGCCCAGCAGCTACATGATGATGCGAGGCTCTGGCACCGACTCGGCAATGGACTTGTGTGGCAGCACGTTGGCCCCGTTGAGATAGAGCTCGTCATTGACGATGACATCCTCGCCCAACACTGTCACGTTCTCCATCCGCACCTAACCAAGACAGGCCACCTGTCAGCCAGGCCCCACCACATACATGCTCCCTGCATCAGAGGCAGCATGTCTTCCACAGCTTGGGTATGTGGGTGGACTTGCCTTGTGCCCAGTGCTTCAGCCACCCAACTCTGAGCTGCCTCTACTGCCTCCTGCTTGGGCCCCTCCCCCCCTGACAAGCTGGGGCCATAGGTTGGAGGAGAGATGGGGACCCCCCCTCCCCCACTGCAGCCAGGCACAGCAACAGCCCCCCACCCCCCTATTCTCAGGGCTGGGAGCAGCCTGGTCCTTTCAAGCTGCCAAGCCCCTCCCGTGCCTGCTCACAGAGGAGGGATGAACTGGAATCTAGTCTCTCTAACTCCAGCCTGTCCTAAAGGCAGATTCTCCACCCCAGAGGTGGGGGTGAGGATACAAACTCCAGCTGCCACCTCTGTTCTTGTGCAGGAAGGGACTGTGTCCTGGGCATTGCTGCCACTGTGTGCCCTGGCACCCCCAAGCCAGCTAGGCATGGCCCCCTCCAATGCCCCCCAAAAGAAAATGGTCATAGCCATGACTCACCAGGGAGCACCAGCAGCCATGTGTAGAGTCAACTAACCAGCAAGTGTCTGTGATAGAGACACAGCCAGCCCCCTGGCTGGTGGGCCCTGCTGCAGGCATGCGCCAGCCTACCAGGTAACTCACCCACTGGCCAACAGACGACAGCCAGCCAACAATGCAGGACTCTAGCCAGGAGTGGGAGCGGATACGGGAGCCTTTCAGGATGGTGCAGCGCTTGATCCGTACCCCATCCTCCACCACCACCCCAGCCCCAATGGTGACATTGGGGCCAATCGTGCAGTTCTCACCGATCTGAGCACTTGGGTCCTGGAAAGGAAGAGCGAGGTGGGTGTGGGTCCACACTACAGGGGCAGCTGCCTGCCCTGGCACCAATCCCCACTGCTCCAGCCCTCATGGTGCTAGGGGTGTCTGGCCAGGGCCTGGCATGTATGCCTTCAGATGAATGGCTGGCTGGAGGAGCTGCCCCTTGAGAACAGAGCAGATGGCTAAGCAAGGAGAGCCATGGACCCAAGTCCTGGCTGATTCACTATCAGCATAGGGGACCCTCACCCAGCAGCAGGGAGCTCCCTGGTTCAAGGCAGCCCTGTGCTAGGAGATACCAGCCCAAAGGAGTCACACTCCCAGCCCGCTCTGCTGGAGGAGGCCCCATAGCTCTCCCACAGAGATGAGAGCCTGCCCACACCCCCATGCTGCACCCACCAGTACTTAGGCACAGATGCCAGACCTGGTAGCCCAGCAAGGGCCTGCTCCTCAGGTCAGTTGCTGAGCTCACTGTAACCCCCACTGTTGCAGGTAGGCAAGAGAGAGAGGAGCCTCCACCCCAGGCTCCCCCCTTCCCAGTAGGCAATCCCAGGGTCATCCTGTCCCTACATAACCACGCCTTGGCACAGAGTCCTGCATGAGAGGGGGTAGCTACCTCTAAGGGAAGTGCTGTTACAAATGCTTGCAATTGCCTGTGCCCTCAAAAGGGGCCAGCCTACCTCGCTCAGCCCATACAGACTGTTCGGGGGGGGGGGAGCTGCAGTGCTTAGCCACGCTCAGAGTGCTGTGGTTCAGAGGCCTCCTCAGGACCCCAATGACAGCACAGCTCTAGGGCTACTCTTTATGCCCATCCCTCACCTTTCTGGGACTTGCGCAGCCAGCGAGGCTGCAGGTTTGTAGCACTCCACAGAGCTCTGCCTGACCCTTGGGATGAGTATGGCGTGTGCTCTTGCTATGGGCCTGTTTGACTGAAGTGTATAGTGTGGGCTGGTTGGGGACCATGTGCTGAGGTTAGCTGAGAGCTTTGATCCCTAAGTCTTGAACCCTTAACCAGAGGGCACAGCTACTCGGGTAGACGGGGGTTGAAAAGCCAGCGCCAAAGCAACGAGGGGAGGTTAGAGAGTGAGCGAGAGAGCCAGATATACTTTCTATTCCCTAAAGTTAGGCCAAGAAAGACTCCCCTCTCCCACCACAGGCTCCAAGAGTACAAATACTGCAGGCAAGAGTACAAGTCCAGCAGCAGAGCAGGGGCTCTCCAGTTTATTGCACTGAATGTAGGATGGATGATTACCTGCCTCATGGGCACATGGCTGCAAGCAGCTCCTGGCCCTCAGAGACTAGAGTGGCTGAACTGCCGGAGCTAAGGGAGACAGAACGGTACAACGTCAAGACTTTCTGGGACACAGCAGAGCGGGCTCACCCTTGGTCTGACAGCCTCGGGGCTTCTGAGGAGGATGAAGGTCTCAGGGAAAGAGAGCATCAAGCTGGAGCGGAAGGCAATAACCCCTTACTTAGGACCCTCATCTCACCCTGAGGACACCCTTCCAGGGGAGGGGACTCCACTAATTAGGAAGAGACAGCTAATAGTAATGGGGGATTCAATTATTAGAAAAACAGGTTGGTTTGTGAGAACCGCATGGTGAATTACCTGCCAGGTGCAAAGGTTGCAGCTCTCAAGACATCTAGACAGATGTATGTGCAGTGCTTGGGAGGGGCCAGTGGTCATGCTACATCTAGGTACCAGTGACATAGGGCAAGGCAGGTGAGGTCCTGGAGGCCAAATGTAGACTGCTATGTAAGAGGCTAGAGTCCAGGAAAAGGGAAGTGCTCTATTACACTGAAATGCTTCCAATTCCATGTGCAGGTCCAGACAGGCAGAACTGCAGGGTCTCATTGCGTGGACGAGACAATGGTGTTAGGAAGAGGGGCTTAGGTTTATTAAGGAAAGAAGGTGCTAATACCAGAGGGAGGGGCTCCACCTAACCCAAACAGAACCAGATTTCTGGCATGTCAAATTAAAAAGGTTGCAAAGGAGTTTTTAATCTAAGGGCTGAGGGAAAGCTGACAGGTGCAGAGGAGTGCGTGGTTTAGGCAGCCACATCCCTTAGGGGAGGATCTACTAATGGGGATTCTCTATGTCTTAGTAAAGAGGCGAGGACAAAAGTTGATAAAGTGCAAGTAGGAACTGAAGAGAAACAGTCAAATGAAAGAGTCCCATTCAATTATATCACAAAGGCAGATAACCAAATATTGACCAGTTTTATATGTGCTTGTATACAAATGCAAGAAGTCTAAATACTAAGATGGGAGAACTTGAGTGCCTAGTGTTAAATGATGATAACCAATGGGACATGGTAATACCAAGATCCTATATATGTTGTAATGACAGAGCAGGTCATGCTAGTGGGGGAGTGTGAAAGAAAACAGAGTGAAACTTGTAAAAATCTTAAATTAACCAAACAGCACCAGAGAATTGCTGTGGATAGAAATTCCATGCTTCAATAATAAGAATATAGCAGTAGGAATATACCACCTGACCAGGATAGTGACAGAGATTAGAAGTGAATATAGTTGAACCGCTTGGTGAGAGTGTCAATAATGTAATTAAATTTAACATCTGGGGGGTGGGGGGGAATATCAAAGGAACTCATCATAATAGCATTTAACTTTAAAAAAAAAGGGGAATTACACAAAAATGAGGAAGCTAGTTAAACAGAAATTAAAACTAACAGTCTCAGTAGTAAAATGCCTGCAAACTGCATGGAAACGCTTTAAAACACCATATTAGAGGCTTAAATGTATACCACAAATAAAAAAAATACAGTAACTCCTCACTTAAAGGCATCCCGGTTAACGTTGTTTCATTGCTGATCAATTAGGGAACATGCTCGTTTAATGTTGCACAATGGTCCCTTATGTTGTTTGGCAGCCGCCTGCTTTGTCCACTGCTTGCAGAAAGAGTAGCCCATTGGAGCTAGCTGGTGGGGGCTTGGAACCAGGGTGGACCGGCAGCCCCCCTATCAGCTCCCCTCTCCCCTAAGTTCCCTGTGCAGCAGCCGCCCAGCAGGCTATCAATTGCCAGCAGTTCAGCTGTCCCTCCCCTCACTGCCATGTGCTGCTCCTGCCCTCTGCCTTGGAGCTGCTCCCAGGAGCCTCCTGATTCCTGTGCGGGGGGGGAAGAAGGGACGCTAATGTCAGGGTGTTCCCCTTCCCCTTGCTCCTGACCCCCGCTTACCCCTTCTCCATATAGAGCAGGGTGGGGACAGGACAGAGAGAGCGTGCTGGCCGCAGCTGCTGTCTCAACTTGCTGATATACTTAAAAAGGCAATGTACTTAGAGTGGGGTCAGCGTAATTAAAGGGGCAATGCGCATCTCTCTCTCTCTCCATCTGGGGTATGTGTCTCTGTCTGCCATGCTGTCTCCCCTCCCTCCATCTGTGCTGCCTTGTAGAGTGCGAAGCTACATTAACAACAATGTGTTAACCCTTGAGGGCTCAGCCGAGTGCTAGTTCATCATTTAGCAGAAAGGCATTCCCTGGGAAATATCCCACCCTCTGACTTCACCACCTCAACCAAGCTTCACAATCACCATTGCTGTGTACAGTATTAAATTGTTTGTTTAAAACTTATACTGTGTATGTGTATGTGTGTATATATACTTTTTTGTCTGGTGAAAAATTTCCCTGGAACCTAACCCCCCTTATTTACATTAATTCTTATGAGGAAATTGGATTTGCTTAAAGTCGCATTTTTCAGGAACATAACTACAACATTAAGCAAGGAGTTACTGTAGTAAGAGGAACAAAAAAATACTACATGGCTAACCAACAGGGTAAAAGAGGTGGTTAGAGGCAAAAAGGCATGCTTTATAAATTAGAAGTCAAATCCTACTGAGGAAAATAGGAGCCTAAACTCTGGCAAGTGAAGTGTAAAATTATAATTAACATAAGAACAACCATACTGAATCAGACCAACGGTTCATTTAACCCAGTATCCTATCTGCAAACAGTGGCCTATGCCAGGTGCTTAAGAAGGAATGAATGAGTTAGACAGCTGAAAAAAGAATTTGAAAAGTAATTAGCAAAAGAGAAACTGCCAGTAAAAAATCCTTTAAGCTCATCAGAAGCAGGAAGCCTTCCAAACAATCAGTGGGGCCACTAGGCCATCAAGGTGCCAAAGGAGCACTTGGACTTTCAGAAAGCCTTTGACAAGGTCCCTCACCAAAGGCTCTTAAGGAAAATAAGTTGTCATAGGATAAGAGGGAAGGCCCTCATTGATCAATAATTAGTTAACAGGAAACAGAGAAGGAATTAATGTCAGTTTTCACAGTGGGCAGAGGTAAATAGCAAGGTCCCCTGAAAATCTGTACTGGGACCAGTGCTGTTCAATATATTTGTAAATGATCTGGAAAAGGGGTAAACAGTGAGGTGGCAAAGTTTATAGATGATGCAAAATTATTTAAGATAGTTAAGTACAAAGCAGACTGCGAAGAGTTACAAAGGGATCTCCTACAACTGGGTGACTGGGCAACAAAATGGCAGATGAAATTAAATGTTGACAAATGCAAAGTAATGCACATTAGAAAACATAATCCCACCTATACATACAAAATAATGGGGTCTAAGTTAGCTGTTCCCACTCAGGAAAGAGATGTTGGAGTCACTGTGGATAGTTTTCTGAAAACATCCACTCAATGTGCAGCGGCAGTCAAGAAAGTGAACAGAATGTTGGGAATCATTAGAAAAGGGATAGATAATAAGACAGAAATATATGCCACTATATGAAGCCATGGTACACCCACACTTTGAACAGTGTGTGTATTCTGGTTGCCCCATCTCAAAAAAGATACATTAGAATTGGAAAAGGTTCAGAGAAGGGCAACAAAAATTATTAGGGGTATGGAACAGCTTCCATAGGAACAGAGATTAAAAAGACTGGGACTGATCAGCTTGCAAAAGAGACCTCTAAGGGATGATATGATGGAGGTTTATAAAATCATGGCTGGTGTGGAAAAGGTGAATATGGAAGTGTTATTTACCCCTTCACATAACACAAGAACCAGGGGTCACCCAATGAAATGAATAGACAGCAGGTTTAAAACAAACATTCTTCACGCAATGCACAGTCAACCTGGGGAAACTCATTCACAACATCCCCTGGCAAGGCCAAAACTATAACTGAGTTCCAAAAAAGAATGAGATCAGTTCTTGGAGGATTGGTTCATCAGTGGCTATTAGCCAAGATGGTCAGTGTTGCAACCCAAGCACCAGGTGTCCCTAGCCTCTGATTGCCAGAAGCTGGGACTGGACAACAGGGGATGGATCACTTGATAACGGCCCTTTTCTGCTCACCCCCTCTGAAGCACCTGGCATTGGCCATTGTCGGAAGACAGGACACTGGAGTAGCTGGACCTTTGGTCTGACCTAGTGTGGCCGTTCTTATGTTCTGTTCTTTTCACTCCCTCGCTGTGGGCTGGGCCCCAGGCACTGCCCAAGGGAGAGAATTACAGTCAGCCCCTTTCCTTGGGCTGGAAAGCCTGAGCCTAGATGGCCCCTTGGCTAGGACTAGCCCAGACTGTTGTCAGAACAGCAAGGCCCCTATCTCAGCTTCCTCAGACAGGGGCCAGGCAGCCCACACTCCCTGTCTGGGAGGGTCCAGGCCCAATGGGATGAGGGACCTGGCTGGGCTGGCCATAGCAGGCCTGCTGGAGTCCCACATGGGGTGCACAGGTTGGAGGCCAGTGCTAGTTAGTGTCCTGGGTCTGAATTTCCTAGCAGACAGCAGCAGGGCTCAGCAAGCCAAAGCCCACGGCCCACTACAGGAGCCACATGAGCCAGCTCAGCTCCCAGGGAACGGGGGGAGGCCAGCAGCAGGGTGACCGGAGTACTGCAAGCCCACCACGGGGTGCCACACTGGGGGTGCATCTACACCCACTCATGTCAGGAAGGAAGCAGCAGCCCAAGCACACCGCTGGGCGGAGAAGCATAGGCACTCACCACCAGCACGTTCCCCATGAAGCCAGGGCCTGTGTGCAGCCTCTCTGGGTGCTGGACCCTCAGCGACTGCAGGAACATGCACATGCCCGTCAGAAAGTCCCTGGGCTGCCCAATGTCCATCCAGAAGCCTGTAGGGACAGAGCAGCACTCTCAGCCTACGGGGAGGGCCACAGGGACAGGACAGGCCAAGCCCCCGCAATAAGCACAGGAGATTCCCCCCCATCCTCCTGGATGGGCCCAGAGGAGGCAGCTCATATACCCACTTGATGCCACTGGCACAAGAGCCACACAGACTTGGGGCAGGAGGGTTCCTTTGTGCTGGGGCAGAGAGGGGGAGCAGAGGGTGGGGAGATGGATGTCTCCTTTACTCCGGGGCTGGGAAGGGGTCTCAGCGGGGTCCCTTACCCTGCAGCTCCATGGCATAGAGCTCCGCATCCTGAGCCATCACCGGGAAGATCTCCTTCTCTATGGAGGTGGGCCGCAGCTACAGACAGACACACAGGGCCCAGTCAGGGGCATCTCCTCCAGACTGGTGCTCCCGTTAACCCTGAGTGCACAGCCTCCCAGTTCCCACAATGCCCTGCAAGCACGTGGCTGTTAAATCTACATGCAGCCTAGAGATTCCAGATGGTCATGAGTGCTCCTGGATGGACCTGATCTCTGCCTCCATCCCCCCTGGCTCCAACTCCAGCTCAGTGCCCCAACTGCTGGGAATCCCTCCCCTTCCACAGCCTCCTCTGTCTCCTGGAAAACCCCCAGCCCAACACTCAGCCTCCACCTGCCCTCTGCTACACATGCACACAAACCCGGGGAGGGAGGGGGTGCGGACCAGGAGACATGCATCCCTCCCTCTCACCCCCAGCCATCGCTCTCCCTGCTGAAGGCTGGGCCCACAGCTGGCCAGCTCCCTACCTGGATCCTGTGCAGGAGGCTGGGGTTGAAGATGTACATGCCGGCATTTATCTTATTTGAGACAAACACCTGGGGTTTCTCCACGAACCGGTGGATGCGTCCCGTCTCAGCTTCGCACACCACCACCCCGTACTTGGAGGGCTCCTCCACCTTTGTCACCTGCAAGGCAAAGTCACTGCAAGGCACCTCCCTGTGGAATGACTGAGGGAAGACCAGGTAGGCTCTGCCAGGCCAGTCACTACACTGTTGCCCCTTTTTACAGACAGGGAAACTGAGGCATGGGGCAAGGACTTGGCCAGGATTGCACAGCCAGAAGTCCCATTTCTGCCAGCTGTACTCGGGGGGGGGGGGGGGGGGGGGGGGGGCGCGGGTTTCTATATTTTGGGGGGCGCCCCCAAGCGGCCCCCTCGCCCCCCCCCCCCCCCCGCACACCTGCCTAAGGCTTTGGGAGAGAGTTTGGGTGCAGGAGAGGGTTTGGGATGCAGGCTCTAGGAGGAAGCTTGGGTGCGGGAGGAGTGTGGGCTCTAGGACAGAGTTTGGCTGCTGGGGGCAGGCTTTGGGCAGGGCAAGAGGTTGGGGTGTTGGAGGGGGTGCAGGAGGAGGTTTGGGTGCGGGCTCCGGGAGTGGGTTTGGGTGCTGCATGCAGGCTTTAGGCTGGGAGAGGGTTGGGATGCGGGGCTGGGCCAGGGATGAGGAGTTTGGGGTGCAGCAGGCAGGCTGCCCCGGGGCTAGGGCAGGGGGCCAGAGAGGACTTCCCCCAGCCCTCTCCCTGCCGGCAGCAGCGAGCTCCGAGGGAGGGGGGCCCCCTCCCCAGCCCAACTCAGCCCGACACACCCAAGCTCCCCCAAGCTGCTGCTCAGGAGGTCCAGCCAGGATAAGTCCCCCCCGCCCACCCTGGAGTCAACTTGGAGTTGCCTGCCAGGAGGGAGGAGAGGGGGTGTCACGTGCCTCCTCCCTTCCTCCGGCACAGCAGCCCCCTCAGCCTGCCCCCGGCACCACTCCCTTGTAGGTGGCTGCGGCAGCGGCCGGTGAGGAAGCGCAGTGCGGAGCAGCCGCCAGCTGCCCAGGGTAGGCAGGGACGCTCGGGGGAGGTGCGCGGGGGCGGGGGAGAGACCCAGCCCCAAACATTGGTGGAGCCAGGCCCCTCCATACAACTTGCCGCCCCTGGGGAAGGGTCATAGAGGCAGCGGCAGGGCTGTGCTTCATGCCCGGGGAGCTGATAAGGTGATCAGTCCCCCCCACCATGAAGCGTTGGCCCTGCCAGTAGCACCAGCCTCTTCCCGGGGGGAACTGAGGTGGGCCTTAGCCCCTCACATTTCACCAAGGAGCCCTGCCCCCTGCTCCTCTTCTTCCTCCTGAGGCCCCGCCCCCTGGCCAGGCCAGAAGCCAGAGCCAGGCCATGGTAATAGCTGCCCAGGGAGCCTGGGCAACTGTGGGGAACCTCAGACCCTCCACCTAGTCTGGGTGGCGCACCTCTAGGGGCAGGAATACAGGCTGGGGGCTGCTCTTGGGCACCCTGGCCCCCCACCCAGGGCAGGTGGAGGGTCCTGGGATCCCCACAGCGGCCTGGGCAGCTCTTATCCCAGCCCGGCTCCAGCTTCAAGCCAGGCCAGGGAGTGGGGTCTGGGGGTGAGGGGCATGGCCCCCCATTTTTACACAGGATCCAGCACTCTTGGCTGTACCCCTAAAAGCCCAGGAACAAGTGCAGTGTGATACGCCAAGTCAGTAGGGGTTGGCAGGAGCCAGTCGTGTTCCGACCCCCCGGAGCCAGCCCTGGGCACTCACCACGATGGAGCCCTCCTTGCCGTGGTGCTTGTGGAAGCGCACCATGTCTGTGAAGGGGAAGTCGCAGATCACGTCGCTATTAAGGACGAAGAAAGGCTCCAAGCTCTCAGTCAGCAGCTCCCGGGCCAGCGCCAGGGGTCCCGCTGTGGAGGGAACATGGCACAGAGAGAGCTGGCAGGAGGGCAAGGCCACGTGCTGCTCCCCAAGGTGGATACAACAGCTGCCAGCAAGCACAGGCTCTACCCTGTGCTGAGCCAGCCGCTTAGCTTCAGTTTTATGCAAGCAGGGGTGGCCTTGGAATGAGAAGCCTCACCCCATCCCTGTAAACTGCATGAGCAGGTAGTCGGGCCCCTCGGCCGACCCTGTAGGGGGCCCCACTGAGCATGTGGGATGGGCACAGACTCACCTGTGCCCAGTGGCTCCTTCTCATGGGACAAGGAGATGCGAATGCCCAGCTGAGAAAGATAACAGAATCCAGAGTCAGGAGGATGCACTGCACCAATGGCCATTCGCTGCCCCGCAACAGGCCCCCGATGCCACGCTGCTCTGCCCAACCCCCTCTGCCCCTCCCACATGACCCCCTTGTCCCCACACATAGCCCCGCCCCTCCCCCACCTAGCTAACCAACCCCCGCACCTCCCACATGCTCCCACCCGCCCAACCCCTCACCCAGCCCCGCCCCGCGCTGTGACCCCGATGGCTCCCCGCGGCCCGGCCTCACCCGCTGCTCCTGCTCTCGCATCGCTCCCTCCAGCACCCCCGACATGTAGCTGACAGCCAGGATCACGTGATCGACGCCCGCCTGCCGGGGAAGGGGAAAGTGCGTTAGCGGCGGGGGCCTGGGAGCCGCCGGGGAGGGGTTCGGGGCCCGGCCTGGTCCGGTCCTACCTGGCGCAGAGCCTCCAGCTGGTGCAGCAGTATGGGCTTGTTGCAGAACTCCACCAGCGGCTTCGGGGTGCTGAGCGTCAACGGCCGCAGCCGGGTGCCGTAGCCGCCCACCAGGATCAGCGCCTTCATCGCCCTGTGCTGGAAGCCGGCGCGCGGGGGGGCAGGGCCTGCTCCGCTCCCTTTCCGGGTCCCGCCCCCTGTCCGACCGTCACCCCGACTCCTCTCCCGACTGCCCGGCCCAGCCCACGCTCATTCACGGGCCTCATCACCTGTCCGGCTCCGCCGCGCCCCTCAGGCGGGGGAAGCCCAGGCCGGGCCGCGCACCAATCCGAGCGGCAGACGTGTCCCTCCACCCTGCCAGCCAATCACACAGCACGCAACGGCATTGCCATAGTAACCGCAGACGTCACATCAGCGACTCTCGCGCGCGGGGCGACGCTTTGGCGCAGGAGCAATCACATCTCAGGAGCCAGAGCAAAGCCCGCCCCTCGCGTAGTGGTGCCGGCTGGTTCCGTCAGAGCGGTGTCCCGTGCTGCTCGTAGCTAGGGCAGGCGGCACCTCGCCAGGCAGCTCCAGGGGGCAGCCTCCAGGCCTCGGCCCCGCCCTAGCCTCTAGCCCGGAGGGCAGTGTGCCAGGATAGGGTGGAGGCGGTGAGGTGTTTCTCTAGCACAGGATGGCTGTGCCAGGGCAGGGCTAGAGAGCAGGCTGCACACAGAAGAGCTATGGAAGTGTAAGCAAAGTCAGAACGGGCTCTACCCTGACATCTGGTGGTGAGCTGTGGAAAAGGACTTCAGGGGCTGATCTTGTTTGCATAGGCACACCCACCCTGCCTAGCCTGATGGGACTGCTGGCGCAAATGGTCACTCTGGCTGCTGTGGGAAGGACAGTAGAACTGTAGTTGGCACTTTATGATGGAGGGACTTGCCCTCAACTAAGTAGGTCTTGCTAGGCAAGGGACATGGGTTCCAAAATCCAGTGAATTGAGAGGTGCTGGGGACAGGTATTTGTATCTGATAGTGTAGGCCCCTTCTGAGTGCCCTAAACACCACTTTGACTCCTCTCCACTGTGTAATAACAGCTAATTTTGACTCTATTAGGAGTATTGTTACATGCTGCAGAGCTGAAATCACAATACTCAGGTCTAAGCATTAGACCTACTTTGGGCTAGTGGTGCACCAGCACTGAGGATCGCCTACTACCAGCTGAAATCACTAAAGAGCTAAACTTACTAAGAGCTGAAATCACTGAGCGCTGTGTTAAGTAGGGGGGGGGAGCCTGAAGATATATTGGTGAGCAGCTAACGGGAGGGCTGGCAGAGAGGAGCGGCTTGTGGTGAAGACTGCAGCAGAACCCCACGGCGAGGCATGCCAGTTGACCGTCAACACACGCAGCGGAGCACGTAAGGTGCCCCAGACTGTTGCCGGCACAGAATGCCCGAGGAAAGCAACAGCGGGGTTCGTTGCCCGGTGTGCTTCGTGCCAATGAACACACCAGGGTG